GCCCCCCCTCCACCCTAATGACAGATTTTGATATATTTGTTTCTAAAGCATTTAATTAACATATTCTTAAGATATTTTTGATTGGAAAGTTTAGACGAAATTTCACTGAATTTGTGAATTGATGATTTCTTGGTTCACAGTGTTCTGTAAGCTGATGTTCTTGAAATTAATTTTACTCTAACTGTCAGTGCAGCTTTTTTTCCATTTCGGACATCACTAAGTATTCCTTACACATCTGAAGAGGTAAGGGTCCCCCTCGCACTGAAAACCAAATCGCCGTTTCGCGTTTAGGTTCCACTCGAACAATAGCCTGGTGTGTTATGTCATTTGATGGTTTGTTTCCTCAGAGTATGGCCAATCCACAATCGCTTCCTGATGGGTTTGTTCGTTCATTGCCAGAAATCCTTGTTGCTGATCATTTCTGGCCGGCCATCTGATCTTGAGCGAAGACTACTGTTGGTGAAGGTCTGTAGTTTGTTCGAAATACCTTTCGTGAAGTACAAAGTCTCCGATCCATATAATAGTACTGACTTCACATTGGAGTTGAAAATTGGGCTCTTATTTTTCATGCTGAGTGCTGTTGATCTCCACACAGACTTACTTGAGAGTAATGAAAGCTTGCCTCGCTTTGATATCCTCATCAGTTCTATCCACCTGTAGTTGAAACGATGCTTCCCACGTAGGTAGGTAGGTAAAGAAGGTTGCTTCTTTTAGATTTCTCCCATTTATGCTGATTGTTATCTGTTGTTGTAGCTGTTGCTGTTGGCCAGGAATCTTCATCACCTACCTCTGTTTTCTCTCTGTGTAGGCTTAGCATATGAAAATACACAACGACAGTTTGAGTCTCAGTATGGACACAATCATACACCCAGCTGACGAGTCTGAAAACAAGACGAAATGCATGCATCCTGTATTCTAAATCCTAGTCACCAATAAACTCAACTAAGTAATATCATGTTCATTCTAAGGCATTGTGTCGGAGCATATCGTCCCAATAATAAAATAGTTTGATTCGACACTAGTAACTAGTGTGACGTTTTCTAGTCCTTTCTTTGGTGCAGACTGAATTCTATCAGTCAGGTTTAGCAATGTGGCCACCATTCTAGGTAGCTCGCCATCACGGTGCACTTTTTTTTTCCTTCAAGTTCCCCAGAGGAACATAGGGCTTCAAGCTAGTGGCTTGAAGTTTCTGTAGCACTGTTTATTTTACAGGATGGGGTTGCTAGCCTCATGCCCAACCTTTCCTCTTCATCAGCATTATTTCTGGCTTGGCGAGGTAAAGGAGTGCGTCTGTGGCCGCGAATCGAACCCTGGACCATGTGCATGGTTGGCGAGCGTCCTAACCGCTATGCCACCATTGATTTGTTGATATTAGATAGTTGGAGGCGATTGGCAGGAAACTGTGCTTGACCCAGGTTTCGTGCTAGTTGGCACTCACTGGTCAGCAAGGCGTATCTGCAATCACCTTGAAGGAATTCATATCCCTTCTGAGATTCAAGCTACCTAGAACGGTGGCCACACTGCAAACCTGACTGATACAATTCTGTCTGCACCAAAGAAACGACTAGACACGTCACACTAGTCACTGGTGTCCAATCAAAATACCCACTACAGTCCTACAGGAGGTCAATCGCTAGCCCGAATACCTCAGTGGTAACGTCTCTGACTACAGGTAGCAGTGGGTGACGCGGGTCCGAATCTCAGAAGTGACATCAGTTCCTTCAAGGTTGCAGATACGCCTTGCTGATGAGTGCCAACTAGCACGAAACCTAAGTTGAAGGCTTCCTTTGGCCGATTGCCTCCAACTATCTAATATCACCAATTATAAAATAACCAAATATCAACGAGAATATCAAGGAAAATGATGACTTTTAACAACAAATTGAAGACTTTATCCAACAACCACCCCCTGTCCCTCCAATTGTGGCTTTTATATAACTTTCAATTGTTACTGAACTAGGCAGAATTCAATACATGTATAATAAATAACTGAACTGTTAAGAATTCTGTATAGATTGATAAGATTCTGTTTTTTGTGCACAAATACGTGTGCATTTTATTAGAATGAAACGCTCTATCACCCAACCTTCTTTCAGTGTGTGTGTGTGGGTTGGTGCGTGTGTTCACATTTTTCACTCAAAATCGCTCGTTGCGCTCCTGTCAATAAATACCACTACTACTACTACTACTACTACTACTTTCTAATACATCGTGCTCATCACTAACCGATCGATCAGTAGTTGTGCAGTTATAGGCAGATAAAATAAGAGACAATACGAAGGGGGGCTGTGGGGTGGGTAGCAAGCACACATTGGGGGGGGGGCGATAGAGTAAAAAATGCCAAACATTATTTCTCTCCTCTTGACGTCATCATTAACGATGACGCAGAGTAGATAGAGTAGAGTAGAGCAGAAGACGAAGAATGTGTTGCTATTCTAAATTCATAGCATACTTGGGTTTGGCTTTTTTCTTCTCTTCTGTTTCTTCTTCTTGTCGCGAACAGTTAAAACTCACTCTGATTGACGCAAGTAAACGATTAGATTGTCAAATAATATTCATATGATTACAGTTATATTCGTTTATTTTTTTTGTATATATATGCTATACACGTCTCATGTGATAACTTACTTTGTAATGTGCCTTGAAGAAGACAAGAGAAAGAAAACTGACAATTTATAACTGAATATAATACAGCAGAAATAGTAGTAGTATTAGTCGCAATCACAACACACCAAAATTCGAATCAATCTATTTGTAAGTAAAATAAAGACTTATGTGATTATTGAGTTTAACAGACAAGGAGGGGGGTAGTATTGTAGTAGTATTACTAATATTATTATTCCCTCGGGTTCTCAATAGGCATCAACAGGACATCTCCACTTCATCTTGTTCTGTCTGCACGGTCCTCTTCACCTGCCTGTCTGTCTGTCCGTCTTCGACATAGGACTTTGCACATATGTGCGGCAGTTCAAGTCGCCACACTCCATGTGGCACACAAAGCAAGAGAAGAAAGTAGAAGAAATGCATAATATAGACAGTAAACAGTGGAATAGTAATAACGAAGAACAAAACAGTTTAATTGGAAATCATAAGTCACAAGGAGTGGATGCATCTGCGCTAGCCACTGAGAACGATTTTGAACCATGTCACCAATTGTTTCCAACCATTGGCTTTTACCATCCCGAGGACCCTAACCAACCAGGAAGTCTGCATCTTCCTACGTGGCTGGCTGGCTTAAACTAACTGTTGTAGATTTCATTGACTGGTGCCATGTTTTGGTTTGACCACCGCTAGCTCTTTTCCAGCCTGACCCTATATCAGCTAACATTGCCCATTGTCGAGGAAGGCGATGACTAGGTATACGTAACACATGTCCTCTTCACCTGATCCTACGATTTCCCACAAACTCTGATTTCCTCCTCACATGGTCTCCTCTGTGTGTTCACCTTCCGAAGCTACACTCGTCGCTGCTCATTTGAGTTCCACTCGAGTAACTGCCTGACGTGCAGTGGCACTTGACAGTCTCCTCAGGTTGTGTCCAATCCATCTCCATTTCTTCCTACTTACTTGTTGGGGAGATAGGTTCTTGGTTGATTCGTTCCCGGAGTTTCTTATTGTTAATTCTTCCTGACTGGTCATTTTATCTTCAGTATGGGGTCAGTAAAAGCAGTTGTTCAAAGTGCTTTTCGTGGCACACACACACACACACCAAGTTTCTGACCTCTATAGAACAACTAACTAACTTAAAATTGGTATTGAATATCCAAATTTTGGTGTTTATGCTGAGTGAGTTCAGGAGATTGAGTGGTTTTGACATCCTCCTCCTTGGGGTCGGCTGTAGTTGGAACGATTCTGCCTAGATAAGTGAAGGAAGCCACCACTTTCAAATTCCTCCCGTAGACAGTGGTTGCTGCTTGATGTTGTTGTTGTCTTCTCTATGCTCACTTGATTCCCGTCTTTGATGCCAGACAGTTTGCTGGTTTTCTTAAGAACATTCTAAAATCATTAAGATACGAGGAATCAAAGATTATTGTCAGCTACAAAGGTGGGCATATATTCATTTCTCCCGTTTATCTAATTCCTGAACACATTATCATTATCTTAATGGAGTTTATTTTCCGTTTTCTCCAATAGAATTCTATTAATCTGTTTGCTATATGCTGCTACAAAGTATTATCATCACTACTATTGAAACCGAAACTTGGTACATTATGGGCTCCAAGAGATACACCATGCAAGAGATCACATAGTTTGTCCGAGGACTGGGATTCTTCCCGGATGCCCAGACCGAAGTAGGTAGACGTCTTAAGGGGCCATCTCGTGAGCCTTTGATGTGAAGTCTGACTCCCATGGTTCGCAGGAACCAAAACAGGTTCATTCACTACTAAGTCTTTTCAAATTCTGGAGCTCATGTTCTCCATAACCTTGGAATCAGGGTTTTTTAGCTCAATTGGGTAGACGTGAATATCCACTAGTGTGCTTTTAAGCACCAGACGCTCTCAATCCTTCTCTCACTTTTGTGAAGAACACCCGCCATGCCACATGAAGGCAATGAATACGACTTCTCTGAGAGAGAAACTGTGAACTTGTGGAGGCATGAGAACATCTCAAGAGGAATACCGAAGTTTACGCAGCAGCCTTGGTCATACCAAGCATTTATGATGGATCTGAGTTCTGAGTGAAATATTTAGGGGCTTCAGTAGCACGTCTCTATTTCATCCTCTTCCTTGTACAGTTTCTTTTAGTTGGCCTCACAACTGCCTATATTTAATGAGCTCTCATTTTCCCCCTGCTTACACGATTTCCTGGATGTGTCAATCTCAGACCCAATGCGTCAACTCATCGTTTCCTACTCGGGTTCCACTTGAGGGTCATAATAAAGACGCATAATGTCACTCAACAGTCTCTTCGGCGTACATCGAATCCATCTCCATTAACTTCTGCTTATTTATTATGAAACTGACTGTTAATTGGTATCGTAATTTTTTTTTAAATTTTAGATCCACACAACTGGCCACCTTTCCCACCATTTTGTCCATGTAAACCATGCGTTAGACAAGATTTTGACAATGATATCCCGTATGATTGTCGATGGATGGCTAAAACAGGTTATGGGATATGGTTAGGTTATGCTGCCTTGTTGATACTTAATATGGGTGGAACACTTGGCTATTTTATTGTTGGTACTGGAGGTGCTGAAGGACCATTATTTGGTGCATCTATCTTGTTAACGCTTGTTATGCCTCCGTTGAGCTTTTTCGGTTGGCATCGGCCTTTGTATAAAGCATTAAGGTAAGTATTAGTATTATTGTTATTATTTGGTATCTATGTAATATCACCCCACCCCCAGTATACTGGTTTATCCCCAGCCGATGGCTGCCAGCTTGACGCGGTCGCCGGGTTCCCCTATCGCGCAATAACCCAACGAGCGCTACTATGGTTGGGACTAGTGTTCCTGCAGGTCCTACCATGTCAGAAAGCCAGTTTAGATGGTGGTTACGGTAAATGTAGTTACCATTGTATGTCGGAGGGGGGTCTGTCTGTGGGCTCAATCGTACTGCTGGCGAGAATAGGGATGTAACAGCAGTTGGGGTGTTTTCCTCGGATAACCCAACTTACTTTTTGGCAGTTTATAACTGGCGATAAGACTCCCAGACAGGCCTATTTGTCAGCTCTACAGTCGCACGACACTAATGCTCCTTCTGTTTCTCAGGAGTACCTCGGGAAAAAATCAAATCCCATTGTGTGGGCAGCTATCCTTGTTATTTGATCTTCTTTAAACGCTAGTTAAAGAAATACTGGGTTTGTAGATTGGAGGAAGGCTTGCATCTGGTCTTCGTTTTTGTAATCATTCAGTCAGGAAAGATTACTTGAATTCTTAGAGAAATTCGTTTTCTCTCCCTGATTCAAAATCACTTTGACCGTGTGCAGAATTTTAAAAAAAACTTTATTGCTAATTTATTGAGTCCACTTATAGAACGCCATTGATTATGTGTACATTGATCGATTACCAAATGACAGGTATAGTAGTTTGATCTCAGATTTGATCATGGATTGATATCAGTTAGATAGAGAACCATTGGAAACCAGCACTGGAATACTGGACAGCTGTTTCGCCTCTTAGTGCAGGGCTCATCAGTCGAACCAACAACCTTCCGGTTACAAGGCGAACTTGTAAAGCATTCAGCCACTGGGTGAGACCAGACTCAATGACCATGAATTCTAACTTCTACCAATTCGGGATTTTAGCGTGACGACTAGCACCAGCCAATGTCATCACTGGTGAGTATATCCTTACTCCCGACCTAGTGGTACAGCCGACTAATTAGTCTCCCTAGAAAGACAGCATCGATCGAGAGGTGATTTGGAAACTACTTCGCTACTACCAAGGGGAGTGCCACCGACAATTATACATCTCATCCAACAGTTGTACGACAATGCTGCATGCCAAGTAATCCACAACGGGAAACTTACGGAATCCTTCGAAGTGAGGACAGGAGTAAAACAAGCTGGCTGCCTACTATCGCCAATGATTTTCCTGATTGCAGTAGATTAGATAATGCGACAGACAGCGGGCTGGGTAGCGAGAAAACAGGCGTAAAATGCACCCACACAAAAAACTTGGAGGATCTAGACTTCGCCGATGATATATGTCTGCTTTCCCACAAACTGGAAGATATGCAAGCGAAAAGCAACAAGTTGGCAGAAGAAGCATCAAAGATAGGACTTCAGGTGAACATAGAGAAAACAGAGTTGATGAAGATTCCTGGCCAACACCACCAACAGCATACAACGATAAGCATAAATAGGAGGAACCTGAAAGAAGCTACCTCCTTTACCTACCTGGGAAGCATCGTTTCAACTACAGGTGGAACTGAGGAGGATATCAAAGCAGCGAGGATCGGGAAAGCAAGGTAAGTTTTCATCATTTTCAAGTTTGTGCGGAGATCAACAGCACTACTCAGCATGTAAAATAAGATCCGGACTTTCAACTCCAATGTGAAGTCAGTGCTACTATACAGATAAGAGACTTGGCCAGCACATCATAAAGAGCATCTCAAACAAACTACAGACCTTCATTAACAGTTGTCTTCGCTCAATACTCAAGATCAGATGGCCAGCCAAAAAAGATAAGCAACAGGGATCTCTGAGAGCAAGCCAACCAAGAACCGATTGTGTAAAAAATGGGCAGGAAGAAATGGAGATCGATTGGTCATACTCTGAGGAGACCATCAAGTGACATCACTAGACAAGCCATTGCTCGAGTGGAACCCGAAATTGAAGCGGCGGGTTGGTCGTCAGCGTGAGGGTGACTTGGAGGAGGTCATGTGAAGAGGAGATGAAAGCATTTGGGCAGACTTGGAGCCAGGTGAAGACTCTAGCAGAGAACCGAACGCAATGGAGACGCACGGCTGAAGCCCTATGTTTCTCTAGGAATTAAAGGAAACAATAATAATCTCCCTAGAAATCCAGCTAACTAACTAACTAACTTTGTCCTGTAAGCCAGTAGGTACCGAGGATTAGAATAATTTTCAAGAATTATAAAAAATATTGGGTCTGATCCCATTGGCTGCTAAGTGGTCTACGAGCTGGACTTGTAACCAGATGGTCCTGTGTGTTCAAACCTCTGAGGTGAGTGTCTACTGGCAATGAGTCCCAAACTAGGCGGAAGAAACAGCCGTCCAGTTGGGGTGGGGGTTGACTAATATCAATCACATAGTCACACTTGAAATAAAATCAATTCCCTATACACACTAACTTTTGAAATTTAAGCATAATAAGTTTATATGTATAGATATATGTAACAAGTAATTTCTACCTATTCTCATTGATCGTGATATAAATTTTAATGATCTATGCCCCTCCCCCCCCCCCCCCATTGATTGATTAATTGACTGTCTGTTTGTTTGTTCCCTAATGATCTGGTTTTTTGTATTAGATTAACCTCAGTAGTGTTGTCCTCTTATACAAAGTACAATGTAGAAGACACGCATTTCTCCTTACTCTAATTAAAGCGCGCATATAAAACAGAATACCTAATTGACTTAAATAATAATCACCAGTGTTATATCCACCCTAACTCCCCTTCCTTCCCTTTCTTTTTCCTACTTATTTTCTCTTTCTAATCAACTTCAATAGGTCAGACAGTTCAATTAATTATATGATATTTTTCATCTTCTTCTCTGCGCAAACAATTGTCATTTTAATCCAATGTCTTGGTATTGATTATCTCGGATCATGGTGAGTTTTGTTTTAATTTGTTTGGGTGTTTGTTGTTGACTCATGTTGACTCATGCGACCTACAATTTTACTATTTGGTTACAGGATTTCATCATGAGGTGACATCGATTAAAGAACCATTGGAAAATCTGGGGGTACTGGACAACTGTTTTGTCCTAGTTTGGGACTCTTCATCAGCGTGCACCCACCGATAGGGTTCGAACCCAGGACCTTCTAGTTACAAGGCTGAAGAGTTCCAAACTAGGACGAAACAGTTGGCTGTCCAGTACTCCCAGGTGGTTTTCCAATGGTTCTCTAAGCAATGTGTCGGCTCATGATGAAATCTTGTAATCAATCAACCAAATCCCTACAAACCAATACTTGAATTTTGCTATTATTATTATTATTACTATTATTGTTATTGTTCCTTTGGGTTCTGTGAGTGGAGCATAGAGTTTCTCAGCATCGCCTCTCCACTTTATATATGTGTAAAACTTGGGCACTGTGGTGGTAAGTAATTCCATATTAGTTTGTTTATTAGATGTATCACACAGTCAGTGAAACAGTATTATTTACTGGATGACACAGTTTCGAACAAAATTAATTGTTCATAATCATATCACCAATTATAATCACACTACTTCGAAACTTGAGTTTTATAGTTTTCTTTGTTTTCTCCTATTTGTCGTAGGGGTAGTAGAATTTTCCAAATATCGGGGATAGGTGATGAATCATTCCTATTACATTTATTTGCAGTTGATTCGATAAACAAAGCTACTGTTATCAATCTCTCCCCCCACCCTGTGACATTAGATTTTAAAGCTATCATCATATCCCATCATTCTATTGTATGGTTGTGTGTGACTGCATGTAGTGGTATAGCTGAACTATTCTCTAGATTTCTTATCTTATTCAGGTCAACCAGTCTAGATTTTGCTAAGTGTTCATGATCGGCTAGTCTGACTGACTGACCTTGTTCCACTACTTTGCCCTTTGCATTTGACCTGATACTCATTGCAGGCAGGGTATTAGATAAACTAAATCTTTTTGTTTTAAAGGCTCCACAAGATTGCTGCTTTAACCGACAAAGCTTGTTTCTAATTGAGTTTGTGGTTGGTTTGAATACCAGCCACTTTTATTCCTGCCTTGTTGAGAATTCTGTGTGAGGCTTCCGAGGTTCCTTCTTTGTATGGAAGTACTACAGATGACTACCCGGATAAATTAGTCAAGAAATATGCAAGGAAACGTAAAAATAAAATAAAAAATGATATTAGTGATAGTGATAATAATAATTATAATAATGATAGCAATATTAATGATAATAATGATAATATTAATGACGACACAAACAATAAAGAATCTAAATCATCAGTAGTAATTCCATACAAAGAAGAAACCTCGGAAACCTTACGCAGAATTCTCAACAAGGCAGGAATAAAAGTGGCTGGCATTCAAACCAACCACAAACTCAATCAGAAACAAGCTTTGTCGGTTAAAGGATCAATCCTGTAGAGCAAATTGAACAAAACAATTTAGTTTATCTAATACCCGGCTGCTGCAATGATTGTCAGGTCAAATACATAGGTCAGACTAGTAGAACAGGGGCAGTCAGACTAGCTGAACATAAAAACTTAGCAAAATCTAGATTGGTTGACCCGAATAAGATAAGAAATCTAGAGAATAGTTCAGCTATAGCACTCACTGCATGCAGTTACACACAACCATACAATAGGCTGGATGGGATAGGATGACAGTTTTAAAGATCTAATATAACAGGGTGGAGGAAGAGATTGATATTAGAAGCCTTGTTTATCGAATGAACTGCAAATACATGTAACAGGAATGATTCATCACCTGTCCAGCCAGATATCTGGAGAATTCTACTACCCCTACGACGACAAATAAGAGAGAACAAAGGAAACTATAAAACTGAAGTTTCGAAGTCGTGTGATTATAATTGATGGAATGATTATGAACAATAATTATGTCATCCAGTAAATAATACTATTTCACTGACTGTGTGATATATCTAATATAAATAATAATAATAATATGGAATCGCCTCTCCACGTTGTCCAGTTCTATACGACCCTCTTTAGCTGACCACATGATTGCCCATAATGTCTAATCTCATATTCCACTCGTATCCGCTCTGTTTCTCTCTGGGATCAAAGCCCAACTCCTTGTTTCTCATCTGGGATCATTCAATCGAACGATAGTCTGGTGCGTGATGTCAGCCCCACTGCGGTTTCCACACCGCCTGTCCGATCCATCTCCATTTTTCTTAAAAAAGTACTTGTTGTACAATGGGTTCTTGGTTAGTTCGTTCCCAGAGTTTTTTTTTCTCACTGGCCATCTGAGCTTCACTATGAAGCCAGTGAAGAAGGCAGCTGTTGTCAAACGTTCGCAGTAGCCTGTTGGAAACACTTTTTGTGACTCAAACGCCTTTATGAATTTGAATAAAGCAAGAACGACGTTGATTTGTGCAAAATAACTCGGTACCATCATTGTTTATTCCATTGGCTCCTCATCAGCTGCGTGTACAGTTTGAAGAAATTATTAAGCGTATGTACAGAACAAACTGTTGACATTATAATAAAGGTTTTTGTATTTCCCAATAAATGAAAAACAAAACAATATTGTTTTTACTGACGTTTTGCTGTTTAATGCTAATAGCTTTATCAAAGTATTATTAATAAATTGTTGACATACTTGAAAATGTTACATGATATCAGTTAATGACAAGGGACTCCAAACTTAGTGAACAGTGCTCAAAAAATTACATTTACTTGGTCTATACCCAGAGGGGTGTGAGGCTAAAGCCTGAGATTATGTAACCAAACGGTGGAGAAAAAACAGGGCAAAGAAAGACTGAATGATAACTGCTTTCTCCTGTATACATGAATCGGGTTTCAAGTGTTTGATAGTGATTGCTCCAGCAAAACTGAGAAGGATTAAAATATTTTGTCTATTGATAATTTTTAAAGGATTTCTGGATGTCCACCACATGACGCGTATTGATGAGAAGTCTGGAAACGGCACTACTGTGAGCGTTTACTCCCTTTAGACGTAGGCTTTTTGGGGCATGTTCAGAAAATCAGAGGCATGCCTTTCTTCTTTCTGTTCTCCCGATGTAACTGCCACTGTAAATACAGGTAAATTTGTATACACAGTTGGAGTTAACAAGAGAAGGGTATCTGTTGACTTTCCATTGCACCAAAGAGTATGTTGTCCGACAGAGGAGAATCAGCTTAGCTGCAGCGTAGGCGCCGGCTAGAGACATATCCAATTTTCGATTGATTATTCCTGCAAAATTACCACCTTTAAAATCAATTTGAATGAAGATTTGCATTAGAGCCTTCACATCTTCCATACTTCTCAATGAATCCCTGAGGATAATGGTCACTTTTCAACATCTTTTCCAATGTCATAAATTCTTCTTTTAATTTCTCTACAGAGTATTTTCTCCTAGCTGTATAGTACGGAGTCTTTACTAGTGCTCATTTAAAGCAGCTCGAACAAAAACTTTTAAAATGCAGGTATCGTCGATTCCATATAGTCCTTCGGTAAACTGAACTCTGAAGACTACCATCCTTCAGGTATTGCATGACATTGTCAAGGAAGGAAATGAAACTTTACATCATTTTCATGTTCCATGGTATATTCAATATTTGCATTTGGCATCGTTGAATAATCGGAGTAGGTAGGAAGTATGACTTTCATTGTTGCACACTGGAAATATGTCCCCTGTAACATATCGGAAATAAGTTGTTTCGTTGATCGCATGCTTCAACTTTGTTCTTTTAAGGTTTGCAATGAAGATATCTACTAAAACATGGCTAAGTGAACTGCCGATAGCTACACCATCTATTTGGCGGTGAAACTGGAAATGCACATCCATGGTACACATTAGCAGTAAGCGTTTGAAATCCGACACTGAGAGCGGGAGAAGACCAGACCGCTGACAAATGATCTGAATAGTTTCATTGATTGAAATCTTTGTGAACAAGGAGGTTACATCAAATGACGCCATTAACTTATCTGAAAGGTTCATATGTGGTTTACACTAATGGCGAAATAAAATGAGTCTTTCATGGTGTACATAGCTAGTCGTTGACAAATGGGTCCCAACGAACAACCCTATATGCTGAGGCGAGTTGATCATCGAAAGTTTAGGTGTCAAGGGGATTTGTTTTACCTGTGTCTTTGGAAGGTTGTACATGTGTGGCAAACGAGATCCTCGGCGTCTTATATCATTGTAAACATTGTTGTTGTCAGTCAATATTTCTTCTTCAGAGGATCTCTCAGTACGTTTGTGATGCATTTTTCAGCTGCATCTGTCTTACCTTTCCCGCAGTCGTCAACTTTAAACTTCAGCGGGTCATTTAACACAGTTTTCATCTTTATAATGTAGTCATCTTTGTTCATCGGCACCACCCCTTAGCCTTTATCAGGTCACCATATGAAGAATTTATCATTATTTTTGAAAGCTTTCAATTCTCTTAGATGTTCCTTACAAAAGGATTTTGGAATATGACATTGGTGAAGTGAGGTATTGATTTGCGACGTCGACTAGCTTTTTCCTTATTTTTACTCAAAGCTAGAAACTAATGCTATTTAAACCGAACAAATTCAAAAATTCCAGTTTTCGATTATAATCACCGCGTGTTTGTAAAGGCAAGTTGGGGAGAGGGGTCATTTCTGGGTGTATACTAACTATTGTTTTTTTATTTCCTCCTTCTATTTTGCTTAAGTGGTTGGATCAATGGGATAAAAACTTTGAATCATCATGATGGTGTTGGCGTTTTTATGCTTTTGATCGCTACTATGTTCTCAGTGCTTGCTGGATGCTGTGCCTTCTTATTGTATAAGGTAAGAAAAATATAAAAAGAGGATTATTTATTGTTCTACATGCATACATACATGCCAAAAGTGAAATAAAAATAATTGTGAAACTAGGCAGTGATAACATAAATAAGAGTGAATATATAAGGCATCTAATATTATACCATATAAGGAGGGAGGACATCTGAAACCCTACGCAGGATTCTCAATAAAGCAGGAATTAGAGTGGTGGCATTCAAACCTACAAGCTCACTCAGGGACAAGCTGTGTAGGCTAAAAGACCCTGTAGGTTGACCCAGTCAGACAGAATAATATAATTTACAAAATACCTTACAATGACTGTGAGATCAACTACATACGTCACACTAGTAGGGCAGGGGTAGTCAAATTGTCGGAATATAAGAATCTAGCTAAGGTAAGAATGGTTGACCCCAAGAAGATGAGTAATTTAGAAAAAAGCTCAGCGATTGCACTGCATGCACTGCACACAATAGGGTGGAAGAGGGTTAAAATTCTAAAAAGTAATCTAGGTAAGTGAAAAGAGAGGATGATTACTGAATCCTTGTTCATCGAATCTATACCCAACACATGCCAAAGGAATGATTCACCACTCATACCGGAAATACAGAAAATACTACTACCAACCAGATCAAGCAATCGAAAATAATGGAATTATATAGCCGAAGTTAGAAAGTTGTGTGTTAGTAGTGCATTAATATGATTATGAGCAGTAATAAATTATGCTCGAAACGTGGTCATTAGTAAACATTACTGTATAACACGCTGTGAGACTTTATCCAAAACAAATTTTACCCATAATGTTCTACATACTTATTTTCCTCAACTCAATGATTTTTAGCTTAGTTTGCCTGCAGTTAGTTCTAGTGAGAAGTCATGACCAGTCGGGTTAACCAGATTGGATGTAAGTACCAAATACTTGCCGATGATAATGGCTGACAGTTTCACTAAAATCGCTAAAATTTCCGGTGGCAGGATGGTCAGCGAGGTCACCTCGTAACCTGAAGGTCCTGGGATTCTATTTCCCAGTAACTGGGACAGAACAGTTGTCCAGTATTCCTTGGTGGTTTTCAATGGTCCTCTCTCTTTCTCTAACTGACATCACTCTGTGGTCAAACCTCGAATCCCTACAAACTAACTCATAAAAATTAGTTAACCTTTGTTTCACCGACCTACTTATATGCATTATCAGTAGTATGTAAAATGCAATACAAATGATCACCGTTTTTGATCTTGTTCATTATACGATCAAGTAGAGCACATATCATGCACTGATAATTTTTTTCACTTCCAATAAGAAATCGCTGTTGCATATTATTTAATTCAATTTGGACTCTCTCGTTGATTGATTGGACCGAAGTGCTCGGCGTCAGGTTGACTTGCACATCCTGGACTCCACTGAGGCTAGTCACCACCCACCAATTTACTTCATGTTAATGATATATTAGATAGCTGGAGGCAATTGGCCAAAGGAAGCCCCTCCTGATCTAGGTTTCGTGCTAGTTGGCACTCACTGGTCAGCAAGGCGTATCTGCAACTGCCTTGAAGTAAATCATGTCCCTTCTGAGATTCGAATGCGCGTCACCCAGTGTTGCCTGTAGTCAGAGACGTTACCACTGAGCTATTCAGGCTCACGATTGACCTCCTGTAGGACTGTAGTGGATATTTTGATTGGACACTAGTAACTAGTGTAACGTGTCTATTCCTTTCTTTGGTGCAGACTGAATTCTATCAGTCAGTCAAGTTTTGTAATGTGGCCTCCATTCTAGGTAGCTCGCCATCACAGTGCACATTGATTTGATGATATATTATATGGTTGGAGGCAATTAACAGGAAACTGTACTTGACCCATCTTTCGTGCTAGTTGGTACTCACTCATCAGCAAGGCGTATCTGCAACTGCCGTGAAGGAACTCATGTCCCTTCTGAGGTTCGAACCCGTGTCACCCATTGCTCCCTGTAGTCAGAGACGTTATCACTGAGCTATTCGGGCTACTTCAGGTTAAATAATCAGACATCATTGAAGCATAAGCACAAGGAACCGATATTTCAATCTGTCATCGAGCACTTCGGTTCAGTCAATCAACGGCAAAGTTTAAATTGAATTCAATAATTACTAATACCCGTTGCACAAGAAAGAGGTGGCTCTCGTGGTAACGCTATCACTCGCTGGGAATTGCAGGTACATCCTGCTGATGAGTCCCAAATGGAGGATTCTTCTTTTATTCACCATCCATTGAATAGGTGGTTAGTGAATTATGGACAGCAAAGTGACCTATTCGAGATGTAATTTTTTTCAGAGTCGACCTTTCCTACCCCTCCACTCGTCTCTCTACAGAGTGGATGGTTTCAGTCAGTCCTTTGCCAAACCACAATAGGAGATGTGTACGGATATGTCGTGGCAGCCCAGCCGTTGCAACCACATCTGTCGTAAAACCACTTCGTCAACCTTGTGTGGATTAAGCAGTTGACGCCTATGCCTGAGAAGCTGAGATGGAGTCCCTGAGCCTAACTCGCATGCTGGATCCGCTTCTCATCAGAAACACTCCTTCTTTGAATCAAAACTGCTTTGAGTCTACCATATTGGTGGTCTGCAGGGGCGCTATCGACTAAAGTACTTATGTCCGCGAGAACCTCTGTGGGCAGTGAAGTTAACACACATCCATACTTCGCGATCTGTTGACTTAATTCCTCGGGAAGCGAAGAGGGGTACAATGATGGCGAACCATATCCGCGGCTCAGTGAAACCAAATGGAGGTAGACGCAGGTCGACTATTACGTTGATTGTTGAGTCCTGTGCTTCGTCAGTCTCAGGTGCAGCAAGTGAACGTGTGGGTGAAGACATGAGTATTATGTGAATATACAGGTACACGGATATATGTAAATATATAGAATGTGCAGTCAAAAATAAAAATGATAACAATATAAATATAGAGTTTATAAAGCTAAGATGTTCCATCGGGCTCGTCAGTTAATTTTTAGGGGACTGTCTAGAGAGCTCAATAACATAACAAATATGCGAATAAAAATCCAAGTCAATGAGATGATAGTGTAACAATATATTATCAAAAATGCAGTAATGAGTTACATTAATTAAAAGGTTACTTGGATATATACTGTTAAAGTCCACTGCTACAAATTATTAATATAATCCACAGAAGCGTTCACTGTTGGAATCGTGTCTACTGGTAGAAGCTGTGTGCTGGTTGTAGAGTTGTCTTCGAATAAGGATAATAGGTTCCTGCAATAAATCCAAAGTATACAACACGGTATGAGTGGAGCAAGTAGACAGCATAGACCAGTGAGAAGGCGAAGCTACCAACAGTACACTGTATTTCAAATTGTACTCGGGAGTTATCTGTATTTAAACATGAGTTGTTTTAAACAAAAATCATGTACAATGACTCTAATTTCAACATCATATTGTTATGTACTCCACAGGTTTGAAATCAGACAGTGGTAGTTTCGTGAATATTCCCTTTCTTGTTAGTGAATACGGTTCATCTTTATTTGGATTAAAAGCCCTTAGATTGCTGAATGTCGAAATCTCACTTTGCACTGAGTTGTTCGATGAGTGTCTTTGTTCAGAGAACTAGTCCTCCAACGTTCAAAGTGTCTAGGTAGCATGAAGATTCAACCTATCCATCTTGAAATAGAGGGTGATCCTGTCTTCCTGAAGCACCAGTTAATTCAATACAATTCCCTACAAACCAACACTTGAATATCAATGAAATGCTCACTAACGACTTGCCCTATTCAGGTAGGTAGTTACCTGAGGTTCTAGTGAGAAGTCGTGACCAGTAAGGTGCAGCAGGTCGGGTGTTAGGACAAATACTCGCCGAAGACATTGGCTAGGGGTCGCGCTATGTCGTGAATTGGCAGAAGTTAGAATTCATGGGCTGGCCATTGGATCGGGTCCCAGTGGCTTAATGGTATACGAGCTCGCCTTGTAACCAGAAGGTCCTGGGTAGGCACCCCGGTGGGTGCGTACTGATGAAGAGTCCCAAACTAGGATGAAACAGCTGCCCAGTACTCCCAGGTTTTACAATGGTTCTCTAACTGATGTCAGCTCATGATGAAAATCCTGTAATTCAATACAGCTGGCAAGATGCAGTTAAGAAAGAGTTAGACAAGTTGGTTGAGCAGTGCATACTTATACCAATTGAATATTCGAATCGGGCTACTCTCATTGTGACGCCACTCAAGCAAGGCTGATGGAAAAACACCGAGAATTTGTGGTGACTACCGACTTACTCTCAATAGTCGTCCACTATAGAGTAGAGTTGCACTACTCTAGACACCGAAAACATTCTCTACAAACTACATGGATCAAAATACTTTTCCAAAATAGATCTCAATGGTGCTCATTTGCAAATTCCTCTTGACGAGAAGCGTCTAGTGCATTAACAACCATTAATACTCCATTTGGATTGTTCAAGTATAAGTTCTTGCCTTTTTTGGTTTAAAGGTTTCACCTGCAATATTTCAAAAAGTAATAAATCAGATGATAGATGGATTATATGGTGTTGAGTCTTACCAAGACGACATTGTATGTAGTTCATGACTCGAACATCGAATTGCATAATGTGGACGTCTTTTAAAACTGTTCAAGCGTTTCTGTGAGAAAAATAATTCTTGTCTAATATAGCAGTACGCTCAACGACATAACTCACCGCACAAGAGCACAGTTGAATTGATAAAACTACCTAGCTAGCTAGCTAACTATCCTTTGTTTGAGTGTGACTCAATCGACACTAATAAAGCTCATCTTGTTATTGTTGTTGTTGTTATTTTTTTTTCTAAATTTTTGTGTCACTAGGTGCATAGATACTATCGATCATCAGGTGCAAGTTTACAAAAAGCTAAATTAGAAATGACCAATGCAGCAATGTATGAACATGCTGCTGCAGGATTCGGTGCAATGCCATAGAAATTCTGATCATGACGAGCAGAAGAAGAAGAAGAAAAAGAAGCAGAAGAAACCGGGTCAAATTTCACTTATCACTACTATTACCACCCTCCCCCCCAAATACAAACATTTTAATAACACGTGATATATACTGCTTATATATACGTATATAAGTAGTATATATGCAAAGTATCCAGTGACATATCATTCAGCTAACCTTCCTCACCCCTACCCACTTTTTTCGAATGACATATCATATACACTGTTCTCTTATTTATTAGCTGACAAAAAGAGAAGCAATTTATACTATGGCTGTGAAATGTATTCAACCTTTGTTTTGTCTTGTTTCTTTTCTCTATTCATTGTGATAACCAGTATCGTTTTTTTTTCTCATTTATGACGTGTTTTTGATACTGCACAAGTTGATTCTTCGTCAAGATGGCGTGTTTGTTTGTTTGTCTGTGTGTGTGTGTGACAAAAACTGCTCCCAAAACACAAAGCTCATCATTCCATTTATTTCCCACTTTTTTATTTTATTTTATTTTCTGAAAACACATAAATACTACTGCCTTCTATGCGCGCTAACCTTTTGTTGTTTTCTACAATAAATTATGACGTCAACAACATCATCACTATCATCAACATTCCAATATGACACTGAGGATTTCTCTCTTTTAATGTTATGTAACTTTGTTTGTTCTTATTTTATTTATATTTTAAAAGAAAACAAGTTGAGTTTTTCTCTTTCCCCACCCCTCTCTCTGTCTAAATGTGTTGGTGTGCGTGTTGTTATATTTGTGGCTATCCTTTTGAAAGAAAAGTACTCAGTTAGGTTGCAACATAGGCAGTTGCGTCGGTGGTATAGCTGTTATTAGTACGCTTGCCAACCATGCACATGGTCCGGGATTCGATTCCCGGCCACAGACGCACTCCTTTACCTCGCTAAGCCAGAACGTGTAGGAAATATAAAAAAATAGACAGTTGAAAGTAACAATGCGGTATCTAAAGAGAATTAATGATTATGACGAAGGAATCCACTAGCTGATGGTATATCATCCGGTACTGAAATTACAGGGAGTACTAGTGTAACAACAGAAGAGAAGGGTCAGGCAACAGATCGTTTATTAAGGAAAATCAACACATATTTATAGATTTTAATGTAGATTATTGTATGCAGACAAACACAGTCTTTTGATTGGTTGTTTCTCACAGAAAGTTATTCTCGCATCTCTTTGTGGCTGTGTCAGATCATCGATATGCTAAATGTATCCGCCTACGCAAAGCCTCTGATCTCATTTTCTCACGACCAATATTGGGGACATAAACATTGACGTCAATTACTGTCTACCAACTTTGGCTAGCAGCCAGCTCTCAACACACTCGTCGCGCCGTCAAAGACTTTCGACTGAAGTTGGTTCGGTCTTCTTGGTTCTAGGGGCTTTGCTCTTTTGTCTTGCTGTCTGGCATCTCGGTGCTAGCGGATGTTCACCTGTTTCTCTGTGTTTACCATTTGCAATTGTGTCTGCGTGACCCCATCTCAAAGTGACCCTATGTGGTCCTTCCCACTTTGGAAACTGTTTGCCTGACCCTGTCGCACATTCGTCGGTATTTCGCCTCACACTTTCATATGCTGCTTTCTCCCGACCTCCCAGCAGCGTCCCAAGTAGCAGCCCCATCGCTGACAGATCTTGAACACCACTCAACTGCGAAGAAGCCTCGAAGTCCTGCCCGAAGATCCATATGTCTCCATCAAAAACTGTAGGGCATAGGCTTTCCATTTGTCGGTAGGCAGCGACACCAAATGTAACACACAGAAGACAAGGGCCAGGCAACAGATCATTTAATAAGGAAAATCAACACATATTTATAGATTTTAATGTACATTATTGCAGATTATTGTTAGCAGACAAACACAGTCTTCTGATTAATTAACAGAAGACAAGTAGTTCAGCGAAGAGTCTCTTTTCGTCGGCGAATTCATTTTCATAGCTATACAATCGCAAATATTGTACATGGTTGTTTTGTATGTGTGTGTGTACATTAAATTTGTCAAACGAAATTACAATTAGTAAGTTCAGATGAATTGGATGTTGATATAAGAGGGTAGTAACAAAAGTGATGAATTGTCACAAACGATTGTTAAAGAAGAGTTACGTAATAACATGAATAGTTTAATGAAAGAGTTGTACTCAGGGTGTACATGGAAACAAAATAACATACGGAATTACACAAGGGTTTTAAGTAGTTAGGAAAATAAGCATACAAACAAAAGTTAAGTCAAATCAACACAGTTGTTACCATGAGAGTAGAATTGGTTGAATAATTTTCTTTTGTATGCACAGTTCTGGTTCCTCTAGCTTAATGGCTAGGGCTTCTGAGATGCAAAGAAGACGGAATCGTACTGTCTTTGGAAGGTTGTTCTTCACTTTGTAGATTACTTTGAAGCTGGAGGCGTTTGTTGAGATGGAATGACCAGTGTTGACGAGGTGTTCTATTATTGCACTCCTTATGCAGCCATTACTTCCTTTCTGCAGCCACGCTGGATAGTGTTCTTTGACCCTTTTTGACAGGATACGCGTTGAACGACCGATTTACCTGGCTCCAAAGCAACAGGTGAACTGATATATACACATAGAAGTGGTCAGGTGCGGGATCTTGTCTTTTGGGCTTCTGCAGATCAGCGGGCGACTAGAGAAGACTACTCTCAATGTTGCCGCAGGGAAAGTTCTTCTTAAAGAGGTGGAGATTCTCCTTCTAAGGACGTCACTGAGTAGGTCTCCTTTGAAGTCGAGGTTCATATAAAGTATCTTTTTTGGCACAGATGCTGTCTCTTGCTTTTGGATTTTTTGTTTGATGTCTTCGTCTACGAATCTTGATGGGTAACCGTTTTGTATGAAGGTTTCTTTCAGGAAGTTTAGTTCTTCTTCCACTGGTATCAGAGCTGCAGATGCGTCGGACTGATTAATTGTTTCTCAATGAAAGTTAATCTTCCATCTCTTTGTGGCTGTTTCTTGAATGTCAGATCATCTATCTACTAATTGTATCCGCCTACGCAAAACCTTTGTTCTCATTTTTCTCACGACCAATATTTGGCGACATAAACATTGACGTAAATTACTGTCCACCAATTTTGGCTAACATCCAGCTCTCAGCACACTATTATTAGTATTCCCTTGGGTTCCAAGTGGAGCATAGGGGGTTCAACAGCACCACATTTTCTCTCTGTTCTATTTTCTGCTGTACCATTTAGCTGGGCTCAAAATTTCCCATAATCTCTCTCATCTCCTCCATGTCGCCATCGCATCGGTGACCCACTCATCATTTCCCATTGGGATTCCACTCGAACGATAGCCTGCATTGAGCGTGATGTGTCATTCGACGGTCTCCTCAACATATACCAGGTCCCTCTCCATTTTCTCCGACATATTTATTGAACGATAGGTTTGTGGTTAGTTTGTCCCCGGAGTTTCTTGTTGCTAATTCCCTTTCTGGCTGGCTGGCTTGCCATTTGATCTTCAGCATGTGGAACCAGCGAGGGAGGCAGCTGTTGATAAAAGTCTATAACTTGTTGGAAATCCTTTTTGTGACACACTAGCCAAGGTTCTGACCCGTATGGATGAACTGACTGACTTCACATTTGTGTTGAATCTTGTTCTTTATTCTGAGTCGGAGTGAAGATTTTTTTCAAACCGATTTCAGATTGATGCAGGTGTCTCTCGCCTTTCCGATTATGGCTGGTGTCAATGAACGTGAACATTGAACGGTTGTTTATTGGAACTGGCAGCCATTGGTGGGCAACTCGAAGGCGCGAATGGTTCGATCGCTTGCAAGTTGGACAAGGACGAAAAGAATACGAATAAAAGTACTTTATAACTTCATTTGTACTAAACATTTGTTTGTAGACTTTGTAGTTGTCTTCACTTTAATTGCCAAACAATATAATTTCGTTCAAGGAATACTGGTGTTTTGGATTTAAAGTTGAAAGAAATACACAGTCTTTATAGGTTCCAAACGTCCTCGTTACAATAGGAACTTAGGGCTAAGTTCCTTGAAAGCTGGCTTTGACATTTGCATCCGTTCCTTCCTTCATTGCTTCCTAGATAAGTGAAGGGGGTAACCTCTGTCAAATTTCTTTCGTTGATGGTGATCGGTGTTGGTTGTTGTGGCTATTGGTTAGTTGGTTGCTAGAGTTTGTTGTAACTAATTCTTTCTGGCCGGGCGGCCATTTGATCTTCAGTATGGAGACAGCCAGCTAAGTGGAATGCTGCGTGAGGCGGAGTGCAGATTTTCAGACTGGTTTCAGGTTGATGAAGGCGTATCTCGCCTTTCTGACTCTGCCTTGCTGACTTTGACATCTTCATCCATTCCGATTGCCTGTATTTGAAACCACGCTTCCTAGATTATTGAAGGAAGAGTAACCTCTTCTAAATCTCTCCCGCTGATAATGATTGGTGCTGATTGCTGTTATTGTTAGTGCATGAGTATCTTCGTCACCTCCGTCTTCTCTATGTTCACTTGAAGTCATATCTTCGCTGCCTGCTTCTTCGGCCAGTTTCTTGGTTTTTGCCTGCAATTCTTCTAGTTTGTGTGAGTGATATTAAACATAAATCATCCGCGGCGAAATCCACATCTTCTAGAGTTTTCTTATCGGTGGTCCAGCGTATTTCTGTCTCCTCGCTTCCCACGGTCTGATGCACAATCCAGTCACTCCACCACAATTAAGAATATCATCATGGGTGATAATAGGCAGTCAGTCATATCTTACTCCTGTATGCACTTCGAACGCCTCGCTGAGGTTTTCTGTTGTGCATCACCTGAAACGTGGCATTGCCCCATATGGCAAGCTGTTGAATGAGGTTGATGAAGATTTAGGCACTACATGCGGTAGTGTTTATATAGTTTCCAAATTACTTCTCGGTCAACGCTGTCTGTCGAAGGCTTTTTCGAAGTCGATGAAGTTAAGGTAGAAAGACGTTTTACTTTGTGTCCAGCAGGCTGCGTCTCCGCAGGCAGTATTGCAC